CTATCTTTATTCCTTTTATTTCTTTCTCTTTTCTAATTGCTGTGGCTAATGTTTCCAGAACAATATTGAACAGGAGTGGTGATAGTGGGCATCTTTGTCTTGTTCCTGATTTTGGCATGAAAGTTGTCAGTTTTTTGATGATTTAGTATGATGTTGGCTGTCAACCAACATAGATAACCTTAATCAGGTTGAGATAAAGACCTTCTATTCCAATTTTCTGTAGAGTTTTTATCGAGAATGGTTGTTGGATTTTGTCGAATGCTTTTTCTTCATCTATTGAGATGATCATATGTTTTTTGTCCTTGGCTCTGTTAATATAGTGTATTACGTTTATTGATTTACGTATGTTGAACCATCCTTGCATCCCTGGGACAAATCTGACTTGGTCAGGGTGTATGGTCTTCTTGATGACCCTCTGTATTCTGTTTGCCAGTATCTTGTTGAGGATTTTTGCATTAATGTGCATTAGGGAGATTGGTCTGCAGTTCTCTTTTTTGGTTGGGTCTTTCCCTAAACCAGAAAAATCTCTTTAAAAGGTAACATAATCAGGAATTCCTCCAACCACAAATCATTCACGAAACACTTTATATATTTACTTTGCTTCCATGACAAATGTATTAATTACAAGCAATATGCAAGGACATATAAAAAAGAATATATACATCACATGGTAGTTACTTCTCTGAACAAAATTAGATTAGAAAGCAAGACAAAGAATTTTTGACCCTTTTTTTTTTTTAAACAGAGTCTTTCTATGTGGTTCAGTGTGACCTTCAACTCACAGTGTAGCCCAGCCTAGCTTCAAACTCACGGTGATTGTTTTGCCTCAGCCTCCCAAATGCTGAGATTACAGACATACACCATCACTCCTGGCTATATATTTTTCATTTTCATTACATTTTTCTTCCTTTGTTTTGAGAAACATGAGGTGAAATGAGAAGGGACTCCAAGATAAGACCTGTATATTGCAGTCTAAACTTTACATGGATTAATAGCTAATGCACTGGAGGTTCTATGTCTGCAGTCTGTAGACTACCTGAAGGTGTGGTGTGGAGTCCCAGCTTTTCTTGTGTGTCACACCTGCCCTACTGTATACCTCACCCCTTCAATTCCTTGTGACACGAGACACAAAAGGAACTCAATGAAAAACTGATGCCAAAGTGCAGCCAAATCCAACATTCCAGAGGGCACCTTCCAGCCCCTCAACAGCATGTTCCTCCTCACCCACATGGTGTGGTTCTCCTTCTAAGGTTCTGCCCCACTGATCTCTCTGTGCTCTCTTGATGATAAACTTTTCAATCCCACTCCTGATGCTACTTTTTCTATTATTTGAATTTCTAGTTTTTTTCTGCAACAGAGGGTGGCTCTAAATTAGGTTTGTCGTCGAACTTTCCTTAGATGTCTACAGTTCTCAATGATCCATTTTCATTCTGAATTTCAAACACTCTTTTCTATATATTCTATGATCTCCTATCTAAAATTAATAAATTTTGTGTCTTAAATAACTTAGAATATATGACCACGACTAGGAAATGTTAATGATAGTCTCTGTAGAGACGATAGAGAAGTCATTACATTTAAGAAACAAAATGATCACCTAAAACGCAAATGGTTAGTAATTGTCTTGTAAGACTAAAGTGCTAAGAGAATACTGCCATACTCATTCTTACTTGGAGCTACCATTTTATGAGCATGAGCAGGTCCTGCTCCTGAGAACACTGAAGCACACATCTCTTGTGTGGGTAAAGCAAGGTACTGTTCTTTGTGGCCTCATGAACATGGAAATGCTAAGGACAATTGGCAAGGCATTGTTTAGTGGGAGAATAAATATGTAATAATCTAGGATTATTATGACCTGTGCTATTAATGGGTAAATTAATGAGAGCTCACCTTCTTTAGAGATAGCATAAGTTTATACTCTGAAAAACAAGCAGGAATATTAAACCAAAACAAAGAGAAAACAGCATTATTTATGCTTACTTTTGGGAATGTATTCATTTTCCACCATGCTAGGGATTGAACTCAAAACCCCACACATGCTGGGCAAATAACCTATCAATGAGCTCTAGCTATATGACCAGGCCCATGTTGCTATTTTTAAAAAATAGCCTTACTATTAAAAGTAAGAGATATAAAAGTTACCAAAGTAAGCAGATTGTGAAGCAACACTGCAGTTTTTTCTTCGTCTCCCTTTCTTTGCCTGCCCGCCCCCCCCCCCAACCAGCAACAATAATATGTTAGAAACATTCTGAAAATATTTCCAGCTCCATAGGATAGCTTGCTATGTTTGGATATTTCTCTTTGATGATTTTTTTTAGCTATCTTATCAAATGTAGTGACAGAAGGTGTCACTTCTAGCCTTTCTGGAGAGCGTTCAAATAGATCAGAGCTAGAAAGTGAGAAATAAGAGAAAAAAATCATATCTGGGCTTGAAAATTAAAATTTAAAAGATAATACAGTGAACAGCTTCTTTGCCTTGTATTACATATTATATTGCTTTACATGTATTATATACTTTATTTGTAATACACCTTATGTTCTTTAAATAAAATTATGTGAAAGCCTGAAGCTCTAGAATTATATATCATGAAAACTCCTGTTCTCTTCCTATTAAAATAACAAGGCTTTTTCTCTTGTAGCTATTGACATTCATCTTAAAAGATAAAATTAATCAGTCAAATAAATGAGGCTATGATGACAAATAATAATGAACAGATAGCAAAACAAATCATTCATATTAAAAAAATTTTTTTACTCTTAATCCCTAAAATATATGTGGAAATACATCCAAAAGAAACTAAGTACCCCACATTCTTCCTTTGGTTACTAGAACTAGAGGAAAGAAAGTGAGAGAAGGAAAATGTGTGCTTCCTTAAGCACAGAAACTGTATTTTTCCACTTCTGAAATGCTAAATTTTCTAAGAACTTGAGATGAGTCTCTTTTAAGTCACACCTCTGTGGGTACCTTACCAAAAGCCTGTGGAAAACACCATAAAGATGAAGACATGGGGATGTTATTATTTATCTATTGATCTACTGGTGTTTTTCTGGGAGAAATGAATTATCACAATTTGAAAATCTGTGTACTCTCTTGGGATGCTACTGCTTTCATTAACCTGATACTGAGTTTTCCATCCACCAATTCACTGTAAAAAACTTTTACTGAATAGACAAAACAGTGATACTGTTCTTCATACCACCATGGATTTAAAAACTTTTTGAATATCATTTATAGCCTGGTTATGACTCTCTGGATTACTTCACCAAGCACATAACAGCTCCGTGAAGGGGTGTTTATGATTGTCATTTAGAAAGAAGATAGTGATTGCACAGAATTAAATGACCGCAATGTCATTCAGCTAGTAAAAGTAGAGCCAGGACGTAAGTTCAGGTATTTCTAATTCAAAAAGGACAATTTATTCAACTACATGTAGTTGTCTCAAACAACACGTGAGCTAGGAGAGAAACACAGAACTCAAAATAGTAATTTAGGGAGTGCAGTTTCAATGAGTTTGTCATCATCAAGCCAATGTTGATGGGGTTAATCTGCGCACAGCTCTAATAATAAAGGCTTCTGTGTTATTCCTTCTTCAATCATCATCATTTTATACTGAGTTCTGAGAATTCTATCCCTGCTTCTAAGTCTTTACTTCAGCATTCTGTCTCATACCACAAGTCTCTCATGAAGTAGAGTCCTACTTTGGTCTAGACAGGATTAGAATCCTCTGAGCCTTTGCATAAACTGATTCCTCTGTCTGGAATGTGTTTCCTCACACATGAATAGACAAATTTTAATTCATCTCTTAGGCAAGCTTAGGTATTGCCCCATTTACTTTTCTCTACAGAGGGAGAATTTCATACTTTTCCCTTTGTGTTCTAGAGCACCTCTTGGATACTTATTTATATGTCTATATTTCCACCCTGAGTAATAGTCAGGGTCTCTCATTTAATGCAGTACCTTCAGTAACTTGCTCTCCCATCTCTATGATAGCCTTACTACTTTTGATTGAACCCCTAACTCTTGTTTCTGCACATTATTTGTTTCAATTATACTGTTCCCTAGGATAAAGAGCTATTTCTGACTCTCCAGTTTACAGAACTAAATCTAGGTCTTACCACCTTTTAGTTTGCAGTTAACTAGAATAAGCTTAACCCAATGTGAAAATATGACAAACAAAATGACAAATTTGGAGGTAGTAAATTCATCAGTGGGGGAGTTGTAGCAAGGAGATACTTAGTTAAAAGATAGTAATCACCTATACTGTTAACTGTCAGGACTACTGACAAAGGATGGGTAGTAGGAAATGAGATCATGATTTAGGATGCTGCCAAAGGAGTGTGGGAGGCTGCCAGGCCATCTGCTCCCATTAACTAGCTGGACAGGTTAGAAAATATGGTGGTTCCTGGGAGCTCCATGTACATCTTAGGAGATATGTACATTAGGGATACAGAAAAGCATTTGCACATACAACAAAAGAAGCAAGTACTTTTTGGGTCCCCTTTATATATGTTGTTGTTGTTCAGAGGAAAATAAATTAGAAATAAAGGACACTTAAAAAATTAATACTAACTTGTCGAAAATCAAGAGAAAATTAAGGCTGAGGTACAGGAAAAGGTTATATTTTAGAACTCTACATGAAAAAATAGGTTAAATTGAGACATAGTAGAGAGAGAAACATAAAAATATGAATAGGTAAAATAATTTATGAGACTGGAATAATCCACACACCTGGGTAGAAATGCTAGAATTCAAATTTATTTACAGTTGATTTTTTTTTCCTTAATGTAAGGAATGTGCCCAGAACACAATATTCCCGAGGAGGATTGTTTGGCCTGCTGAACACAATGATCTGTTCCCGCCCGTCTTTCTCCTGCGGTGTTTTCTCACCCATGGACGGCCATAGAAAGTGAGAATTCTTCTTGACTGAGGTGAACCACAGAGACTAGAAACTAGAAATACAAAGCCAGCCATACAAACTAGAAATATTATCCAACCCTCTCCCTTTCTAAGAGCTGGAATGAAGAAATCCTTTGGCCTACTGTGTCTGACAGTAGATAATGAGGCCCATGATCCAGACAGGGCCCTGACCCATACCCAGGGGAGGGTCAGATGCAGCTAGTGAGGTCAGGAAGCATATGAAAAGACAGATCCTGCTGGGTTCTACCATGTTTCTGTTTCTACCAGGTCACACCCTTTGTCTCTACTTTTCTACATGGCTTACATTTTTCATTGAATGAAGCATAAATATCGTCAGTGTTCACTGGGACTCTGTTTCTTCATGTCATATCACATACAACTTTAATCAAATAAACCTGTTATGTTTTCCTTTTGTTATCCTGTCTTTTGGTAGAGGAGTTTTGGCAGTAACTTTTATGATGGGGAGGAAAGGTATCATATGATTATCCTTACATAAAGAAACAGTATATTCATCATAATTTCAAAACAATTACAATTTTAGTGAGACAATTGGCACATTGTCAAGTAGAAGGTAATTAAGATGAAACACATTTAAATATATGACAGAATTTTTAAAACAATCTTTAATTCATTAATACCAAAATAGGTGAAATATTTTGTATTTCTGAGTACCTATTTACATTAAGTACTACTTAGCATCATGTGAAGTTGTATGTGAATGATCGACTTCCTCCCAAATAAAAAAGTATTGTTGGATTGTAATCCTATTAATTATTAATACAAGATTGAGTTTCTCACCCAACTTTTATGGAAAAAATATTAATGTTCTCCCATTAACGTTTTCCTTTAAATTATTTCTAGATTACATAGTAATTGAATGCAAGTCCAATATCTTAAACTTAGTCAAGATGTTGCTGGGACAGAGCTGGGGCTGTAGCTCAGTGGTAGAGCACTTGCCTAGCACCCATGAGGCTGTGGGTTTCTGGAACAAATATTTTCAACATTTATACTTGACTTTGGCTACAAAGTAGGATTATAAAGCACAAGTTAGAAGCCAGAAGACCCAGGCAACACAAAGGAGAGTTGCACTACTCACCAAACCATGCCTGCTGGTCGCCTTGAACCTCTATGGCTAAGCCAAAGTCGGCCAGTTTCACAGCTGCTCCCTTAGATTTGCTAGCTAAAAGCAAATTCTCAGGCTTTATTGAGAAAGAAATAAAAGAGATTAAAGTGAGAACCTATTTTAAATGGCTATTCAAAACTAACAAGAGTTTAACAAAATTAGGGAGGGGGAAAAAACAAGTCATGCACTGTCGTCTCTCCTGGAGCCTGCCATTGCTAAATCCCAGGGAAAATATGGTTAGAAATTATTGCAAATTATCATATGTGCAGGCTTCAAACAGATATGCAAGTGTAGGGGGAGGTAGTGGGAGAAGGGAGAGAGGAAAGGGATGACAGCACCTGTCTGACCGGCTCATATGCTTCCAGGGACCCCTTGAGGTGCAGCACGGCCACAGACACTGACTTAGAAGCCTTACAGAGCACAGACATCTTCAGCAGAATGCAGCTTGGCAAAATGGTAACAAGAGTTGGACCAGTCTGCAGACATTTGGCAAATGGAACTGCACAAATTAAATCCTAGTTGACTTTAAGAGTTTGGACCCAAATGGAGTGTTTTAGATTCTTCAATGTTTCCAAACAATTTCTGTACCAATTTTGGAGACTTACTCTGAATTATATATTAAAATTGCTCTCTTTAAGAATTTGTTTATTCTTAAAGACAGAAAAAGTAACTACTATTTGCCAAATGTTATAGTTAGCTTTTTTCTTTATAAGCCAGTTTTAAAAACATAATTTACATTTCTTTAAAGTGTGATTCAAAACAGTACTTATCTATATATATGAGAAAGATAAATTTTATTTTCTTGGGTATTTATCATCACTTAGGGACTGATAACTCAGTTCTGGAATAAGGCTGTGTCTACACCACTGTTTCCCAACCTGTGCTTCAAAACACAATGGTACTGTGAAAATCAGCACTGGGAAAAGTTCTTCAATTCCACTGGATTCTCGGTGTGGATTTCAAGAAATGAAGACACAAAATGGCTAGGAAAAGGAGGCTGGTTAAAATATACAGTGAAGTCTACACAACCCAGCTATCTGGATGAACACATGGCTGGATTGGTATACATATGGGTGAGTGCCTTAAAGGCTTCCTACTTTGGGATAACAAGAGAATTTGGAGTCTGGGTCTCAGGACTGAAAAAAGTTGGGAAGCAATGGATTGTACAAGTGCCAAAACTACTGTCTAAAACTCCAAAAATTCAGTCAGTTAATTTTGTTTATATATTGTCAAACAAGAAATTTTACTTTATTTTTGTCCAATTGGCTACTTTCATTTCCTTTTCTTACCAAATTAATCAATTCTGTTGGTTGTTTTGACCTTGTGTAAACACAGCCTAATCCATTATTTAATTCATTAATTAAGCCAGCCATGCAAAAGAGCAAAAACTCCATAACCATAACTTGGAAGAAATTAGGTTAAATCTACAAGAAATTGGAGTTGGGGCAAGTAAGTTTTAATCAAGTACCAGACTTCTTCAGGCCATTGCTGCTCACTGCCATCAGATTCATCGCTATTGTGAGGACTATAGATGTGAGGAAATCTTTGAAAGTTTTTAGGGCTGATAGGGTTTTGAACTACATCTACACAAAATATATAATTTAATTTGGACTTGAGGATGAAGATGTCTCAGGAATATGAAAAATCTTCATGCTGAAGTAACTTTCAGTAAATCCTAACATTTGAAATTATTTGGAACTCTGATTATTTGTCAGTATACTGAAGTATCTGATCATGTTAAATTTTTCATATTTGATACTTTACTTTCACAACTGAAATTTAAAGTCCGCTATATTTGTGCCTTTTCTAATTTAATCAAGATAATTTCTAGCTATTAATTTATGAAATAAGTAACTTGGACAAATCACATCAAACCATAAGCAACAGCTGATTCTATTTCTTGGTGACCTTCAGATTCAAATGCACGAAAACATCAGAGAGGTCTTCTAAAAACACATTTGACCTAATTTGTCAGCCACAGACTCATTCAAGGAAAGAGTTCTAATTACTTAAAAAAAATCATAGCCATTTTAGGACTTTTAAGTTAAGTGGTACTGAGCAAAAGCCATTCTCAATAGTGAACAAACTTTAAAAAATATAATACGCTTTTACTCTTATCACTAAATAGAAAAGCTTTGGGGCAGTGCTTTATACATTCTATCCTTAGACATCATGTTTGCCAATTCAGAACAAATCATACCTGACCTCAGCATGACTGGGGCAAACCTTCAGAAGTACAGATGACCTAGGAGACCTTACTTTAGGGCCTTGTGAGTCATCCAGGAAAAGAACAGATCCATCTGGATCAGTGTTTCACCTTAGATCCATGAAGATTGTTCAGCTGCAGTTATGGATAGGAAAGGTAGGGCTCTTGAGGGAGATTGTATGCATTTAAAAATGAATAGCATTGCAGTGGCTTCACACTTAGTTATTGCTTTTAGGCAAACCAAAAATACAAAATGACGGAATGCTAGCTGAAAACCTGAATGTTATTAAAGGATCATTTGCTTTTTAATGTTTCATCAAAGATTGCTTTAAGCAGCCATGAAACATAAAGTACTATGCAAATTTGATTTCTACATAACTCTTTGGAATATATTGGTTTGAATAATCCTGTCCTCGTGTTCTGTGAGAGGTAGGAGGCTTTATCACTGAGAATTTTTAAAGAAACACATAGACTGAAAGTAAAAGGATGGAAAACTGTTCTC